GGTGCGTTCAGTTTGTGAATTGCCGCGTGTCCTCGGCCTCGCTCCGTTCGCTTCCGCCTCGGTTTATCCTCGTTCGGCAGTGCCCATGATAATCTTTTTGCTACAAGCCTTGATCCTAGACCTTCCTGCCGACTTCACATATTCGTTTATTGATTTATCACTATTATATTAACGTATTTCCTTTCTAGGTATAATCAGCAGAGCGCGCGCTCGCCTTGGCTAAAGTACGTAATTTGAATTATTTATTATTTTTAATTCTTATGGTTATAAAACAAATTTTAAGTTAATATATTTAAAAAAAAATTGATGTAATTGGATGTGCATGAATTTGCGAATTCGATACTTATAGAACAAGTGTTAATTAATAGAACACGTGGCTATAGTAGGCGTGCCGACGTCACTCCAACGGCTCATGAAGGTCATGACGTAGCAGACGCCTAACCATTCTGTCTTGCTATCCGCCGGCCGATTCCTCACGAGGCCAGCTTCATAGCTTGTTAGTGTTGCCAGCACTGTCAATATTAAATCCGACGATAATTTGCATATATTTTACAATTACATTTTTTTACTATATATTATTACTCTTTAATTTAAAATTAACAATTCATAACAATATTTTGTAATTTTAGATAATAATTTAACTTTAATTAGACTTGTATATCACAGGATTAGTATTTTAGTAATGTATTGACACGATACATTTAAAACCGAATACTTTTTAAAAACTTTTTTTGGAAATAACAAAGGTTACTAATTAATGAAATGATATTTCATAATTTTTACAATTATATTATACATGATGTGCCATACTTCAAAGGAACAATGTTAGTGAAACTTCTAAGATTTTGTAACACTATACCAGTCGAAAGAATTAAAGATAAATTTAATCCGATCAAGTACAGCATGATGAGGAACAGAGTACCATTATAACCGTTATCAGAACATGAGGTGATAACTAGTTATCTCAGTATCTGCCAATCAGAACTTATGCAATCATTTCCTGGTGATAATGCGACTTGCTCACCATTGTTCTGTGTATAAAAGTGTTGATTAACATTAAAAAGTTGAGACAGATACAAGAATTTGAAAAAGCGGCTTCTTTGCACACATATAATTTTTTGCTTTGTAATTTTTAATCTACGTTTTTATTACCGATGTTTCCAGGATTGAAATGAACGTAAACATAAAGATGTAAAATGTGATCTTAACATTCCTTGATAAAAATGACATTATGATGTAACATTGTAAAATTTCCTTGATACCAAACGGTTTCTACCGCATGACACTAATTGCGGAAATGGTTTTGCTGATAAGGAAACCGAATAACAAGCTTGGTAGATAAATTTAATTTTAATGTCTTAGATTATAAAAACCAAATAGTTCATCATTATTGTTTGGGAAAACTTGTTAAATTTAATTACTGTAAAAATGATTCTTTGATTTTGTGTTCTATGTCTTCATCGGTATTTAACTTTATCCTCTTTGAATAATTTTATTAATAGTAATTGTCAATCGCGCAATTGTCGCGAATGTGAGCAAACAATCGCGGTGGGTGACGCGAGCGGTCACCTTGCGCGTCCCTGCGCATCTCGGACGAATAGAGGTGGCATTCGCACTCAGTTCCGCGTTGCTTCGCACTTCGCACCACAGCGCGCACAATCTTTATTTATATGTTATACTTATATTGTTCTAAAATAATTACTGTTCAATTGCTACATGCTAGAAGGCTAAGTAAAAACTAACTTAATATAAATGAAGGTTTGAATTTAGAGTTTATATTTAGAGTTGATTTCAATATTAAACGACGATTAATGACGAGCATAACATTTCCCGTAAAGGTCACGGAAGGCGCGCGATGGAGTTTATAAAATTTTCTTATACGCCAGTATAATTCCTTTATGCAGCGGGTGGGAGCGGTATTGATTTCCTCAGTCTACGGCTACGTTCGAAGCTTTTCGTGTATTCGTGTCTTATCTGCGAGGAGCGGTATAAATCTTGGCTCGTTTATATGTCCTTTCCTCTGAAATGGGTAATTCTTGCGATACAGTTTTCCGCATGTGCGGTAAAACTGCTTTGACATTGAGTACCTATTGTTACAAATTACGACGGTCTGCGAGACTGTGACGGCCGACGCAGCCTTGGATGTACAGTATGTTTTATTATTTCGCACGTCACACCTACAAATTGTACTAATGTGTGCGCTCCTCCCATACCCATACATTACAATACAGATTCATACGGATTATTTATAGGGAACGCAGATTTGTTACGTAGTAGTCTGATCCAAATTGTGAATACAAAAGTTATCGTTTAGATTTTATTTGATCAAGTTGATATGTTTATACACTTAATATCTGCAAGGACCTTGAGCGTTTATTAAAAAAAAAACGAAACGTTAGGGGTTTTTCTAAAGAATTATAATGTCTTCGCAAAATCGCTGAACAGAACGTCTGAAGGTCGTCCTTATCCGAGAATAATATCTGTCTTCTTCTATTTTTGACAATTCACGGTCAGAAATATCCCTTGCTTCTTTGATATTTGTTAAATAGTTTTTATCATTAAAAATTCAATTTCTTGTGTTCTTAATAATACTTCAATTTTAACGAATTAAATTAAAACTAATATCATTTAAACTGCGATTCTACGTATATATGTGTAATTGTATAAATATGTGTAATTAATTATTATGTACAAGTAAAATTATTATATCGAAAAAATCGCAAACGTAGTCATGACTATAGTCTAGCCCCTAGACATCCAAGATGGATTTCTAACATTACATTCAACACGTGCATGTGTTGTTGAAATACGTGTGTATAAAGGGAATTATAAGCATTTAATAAAGGCATGTAGCTGTTCGCGTCACTTCTATTGCTTGTGTATCAATAACTACTTATTTGTACAGTTTATAGCTGCAATTTATTTTAATTACTACGAGAATCATTAGTTTAGTATTATAAGCGACGTTAACAAGTTATGTATACCTTGTACTTTAATACTCCCATTACAATTAGATCTCATATCCGTATTTAATGTTGATTATAGTAAACCTGGGAAACATGTACAGTGTTGGTACTGCTTTGTAATAAACTTTATAAATAACTGGTTGATACTCACGACATCGTTCACTTGAAAATATGTAGCCTATGTTACTCAGCGATAACGTAGTTATTTTAAAATCGGCTCAGTAGTTTTTACGTGAATCGAATACATGCAAAAATGCAAAAATACAAATCTTTCCTCTTTATAATATTAGTATAGATAAACCTACATCATCTTATATTTAACCTTTCCAGAAAGCTCTTACAAATATAAAAAAAAAACTTTTGCATTTTGTGAAACACTGTGTAGACTTGTGAGATTGGCACATACTCAAGTGTTATAATGCTAACTTAATGCCTCGGTTGTGTCGTCCTCAGCCCGCGTCTTGTTTTTACCTGCTCCAAGGCTTTAAACAATAGGGCTTAATAGCCAGCCTTACCTTTGTTTGATGTATTTCGAGACGCGATGCACGTCGACCTCGTATTATCCTAAGTGGGGTCCATTATCAAACTTGCCATCTCGTATATAAAAGATATGAAAACTTTAAGTTACTAAACATTAATAATAAATTAATAAAACGTAATTTTGCTGAGGGTGCGTCGTCCCTACAGGAGTAAGATAACGTGGAAATTGTATTATATGTAATTGATCTGAGGGTAATTTAAATATTTTTCAAATAACTACATGCTTGACAGTTTAGGTTGTATCACCGTCGACAGGAAAAGGTTAATAGGACATAGTGCAATAGAATCCAAATATTTTTGTTTTTATTCATTTTTTGTTTTTAAATAATAAATATTTATTTTTATTTGAATTGTGTTAGTGCATTGCACTCGTTACCAACATAATACATAAAAGTGACTTGTTATAAATTTAAATTCAAAGATCTTTTTTGAAGCGAATAACAATAAATAAGAGGCGATGTTTATTCAGCATTGTGCCCAACCTCCGATATCGCAATGCGATTCATTCGCGGCAAATAATCCGTCCTTCAGGCTGCAGTCGAGGACCCTACTGACGGGTCGTCCTCGGGGCGTCTGACTCATGCAATTGTCGTTAAGCGGCCATTGCTCACTCCACTCGCTCAACCCCCTTGAAACGTTCGACGCATCACTAAACCGCTCCTTTATAGAATATACTTCACATTTGACGCATTGTTTTACCTACGTCCTAATTTTAACGCCATTGTTCCTCCATTATTGATTGCAAATGCTGCTGCCAATATTGTTTCACCCGTTATGGCGTTCTGATACAATATAATGAATAATTTAATTATTACATTGGTCTCTTTGTGTTTTCGGGTTACAGAACTGTTGACTTTCAGTGTCAAAAGTGTGACATTTTCACGATTCGATAAAGCCAAGTTGAATGCGTACGGTCGGTCGGTGTCGGTGCGTCATTTAGTCTTGTGTCACTTGATGAAAATGTTAAAATTTAATTTTAAAATAAACATTTGGGTTGAAATATAAATTCCTGCACTATAAACACCAAAAAATAATGCCAGCAGAACATCTATATTGGAATCGTGCTAACAGCCTAATAATTGTCAAGCATCGATTTAGGTTGATCTTAAATTGCAGTCTTTCGAAAATTATTTAAACGGTTCAATGATGCGGGGAATCGTCGCCGAGAGGACTTAAATATAGAAGAGATACTAGCACGTCGGATGACATCTATAATAAGACCGAGAGAGACCGGCGGTAGGTGCTTACGCCGAGATTGCTCAAGCTTTTACGGGTTATTGACTTTTCCAAATGATTCGTCCGTATTTACAAAGAAGGTAACATTTTATTCAAATATATTTTATAGTGTACAATATACGCGTCTTATTTAAATTCAAAGTTATTTCAGTTTGTTCACTTTTCATTTACGCAACGAATATTAACCATACAAGATATCGGTGTTTAATAATTGTAACTGGCCGCCAGATTAACTGAGCTAGTAATAAGGAAGACTATCGTTGTACAAATGAACTTGTCTGATTAAGTTTTATTCCGTATTTATTTATGAGCACTTGTTGTTTCTGTTTTACGAAAGGAAGGTATCTATTCATGGTTAAATGTGGTTTAAAGAGGAAGAACGTCTAGTATTTCTTTGTAAAATAATATTTATTACGTGTTATGTCATAGTAATATAAATCAATATTTATTTGATATCTCCTCTTTGATATGTTTTGTGTTCTATCTTTTACCATCTATTTTTGTTTTGTAAAAATACAATACGTGTTCAAACTACAGTAAAACACTTAACAATATCCAATGATATAACAAAAAGTAAATCGTCGGATATAGAAACTTATCAATGCTTATCGAATGAAAATCTTTGGCCGCGAGCAGGTAGTTCAAGTACACACCCAATATGTTTGTGTGTCAAGAATTTAAAAAAGAGGACAGCTGCTATAGCTCGTCACAATTCGTAATAGTACTATGGTTCAGTAGGATCGAATGTAGGTCGTTCGGGTCGCTCCATTTGCCGCTGTGGCGAATTCGTCCGCCGACCTCGGTGGGACCGTCGCGGGTGATAACTTATCAGTACTCGACTCGCTATGAAAAATTGACCACGTATCGAGACCTACGCGGCACTATACGATTCGGTGAAATAGTATCGAGGTTAGCCGCCGTAACGAACGGCCATGTTTAATGGGAAAAACCTCGACGAACGTCCTTCTGGATTCGTTCTCATTTTTTTTCCGTGGCTATATTTAATCAATATTTCAGCGCTTGGCACGATACTCATGTATTTTATATTTAATAATTACATGCGTACTTTAATACTGTCGTTTATACAGCAATTGAACGTACTACAATAGTTTCCTCATACCATTATTAAGCTCCTAATGTAACGTTAAGTGATATGACAAATAGTGTTATGGTCTTTCTTTTCTATTCCACGCCTCATTTTTGTATGCGACTCTTCCGACCGTTACAAACCCTTGACATTAATATTTATGATTATTGTTCAATGTTTTCCTTTTCATAACATGAATCTTAAAACTACTCCACTCTCAATTTGCCAACTTACTATCAATTAAGATGTAAAAATTTGCTTACATTTTTAACGATTATGCTGACAATGTTAAACGGTCAATTTTATTTACTCTGATAAATGTAAACATTATACAATTAACTTAATTAAGTCACGTATTTTGTTTAACCTATTTAACTTATAACATTTTTAACGGATCACTTGGAAATATACGTTTTTTACATATTAGTCAATTGGAAGTAATTACTTTGATTCTGATATCTTAACTTTTTCTTTAAATTCAGCGAATTTTTATAACATGCGCTGAAAAATCTGTGACATACTTTGAAGCGCACCTGCAAAAAGGTAACCTTGGCCTAAAGGGCAGCGCGATGAGTATGTTGTTTCAATAGTTAACTAGGCTGATTACGTTATCATTCACTCATTTTCTAAAAATGTCCCATCGAGTATAAAATGATATTGAACTATACGCTAATAAAACAAATATTTATGGATTACATTTAACACACAAAGAAAAGAAATGCATTAATAGGTATAATATATATGTTTTTATACCCTGAAGTCTGTGCACGTATGAGTTAAGGAATCTAGTCAATTGTAGGTGGCACCACCACTGATCAGTGAGACCTCGATTGCGTACTAAATCAACCGGTTTCGGGGTCGGTTAGGTTCCTTTGTGGGCAGTTGTAGGGGTGCGGGCACACGCGGGCCGCACAGCCGTCGCCGCGTGCGCCCGAACAAAGCGGCGCACGTGAGCCGCGAGCGGATGCAGTGCGCCGCTGATGAAACTGACACAGATTCTAACGCGTATTTGGTAATCGAAGTTCGTGAAAGTCTCGTTCGCAGGACGGCAATATCTCGCGTATCGTACCGCGTCCCACTTCGCCGCACCGTCTGTCGACATTCGACGACACCGAAACCCAAAACCGAGAAAAGATCACTTTAAATAACGTTAAATCTCTTCTCTCGACGAATCGTCATTGTTCGTGAACGGGCGCGCGCGTAACTGGAACGAAAATTGTGCTCTCGTCCCAGTTTTAGGATGCGAAACTGCGATCGACGATTGGCGTGTTGCGATATTGTTACATTTCGCCTTGCATTCAATTCCATGTGAAGTTGCAAGATTTCACCTTTGGGCCACTGGGTCGCTTGTAACTTTTAATAGTCCTCTTCATTCTAACATTTGTTGCTCTAATTTAAGTACAGCGTTCGAAGGATTAAAAATACATACAAAATAGATAAATAGATAAGTCATTATCTTTTAACTTAACCTTAAATGTTTTGTTGCGTATATTCTTGGTCGTCTATACTTGTTGGAGCGTCTATGCTTTCTATATACATTGACAAACTAATTACAGTGTTGAAACATACTTTAGTTAGTTAGTAATCTTATTATTTTATGTTTAGAAGTATAGATGTAGAACAAATAAGTGAGATGATCGGTAAGTGTACAAAATGGTATGTCCATATTTAGCCACACGGTATTGTAGGTGATTATTACGTTGTTTACTACAGGGTTGATGGTATGGTGTGAAGGCATGAATAGCATTGTGTGTGCGCTTGTTGCAGGCTCGGGTCGGGCAGCGAGTGCGGCGGCGCGGGCCCGGGGGGCGCGGCCGCTCCGCAGTCGGCGCGCGTCACGTCCAACGGCGCCGGCGGCATGGCGGTGAGCCGCGTGCCCAGCCCGCTGCACGACGGCAACACGCCCGTCGCCGAGAATTGGTGCTTTACACAGGTATGACGCACTGACCATACCCACACCAGCGGCGACACCAGATTACACAAAAAACTATATCTAAACCTGGCTTAAAACTACCTGTCATAGCTTGACATGTACTTAATCACATGAATCGGTCATGATACTACCGGTTGGTTGTACTGCAGGAACTCTTCTGTATATAGTAGAAAGACGAGGTGAATCAATTAAAAAGCAAGTTGGTTATTTTTTTAAAATCGCAACGACGTATATAAAGTAGTTTAATAAATGATATATCTGGACATTCATTTAAATAACCTAATACATATTTATAAATTACAATTGTTATAAAGCACAAGCTCAGACTGCAAACTTGTCTTTGTGCATTTTAACATGCACGTCAGTATTAACCTTGTTGTAATATATGTATATTAAGGTAAATCCGTAATTAAAGAGTGATGTATTATTGTTATAAGGTTGTAAAGTTAAATTAATATTAAATTTGATGAACTACAGGAACATTAAAGTTATATCCTTCAGTAATACAAATTCAACCTCAACCGATTAATGTGAATTGGTTTAAAACATTCACCAAATTTGTTTTGACATTGGTTGCACCTTTTGTGTTATAATCCAGGAAGGTTAATTAAATTGAATGATAAAAAAATATAATATTTTAAGAAAATGAAGCATGAAAAAGAATGGAAAAATTATAAGGTACCCTAAAAAACTAAATGAAAGCAATTGCAAAGAGATTTTCGCAATACTAAGATGGAGGCTTGGTGACTTTGCTACGGTGATCTATTTACAAAACAACGATATGACCTTCCCTTGCTCATTATTATCAAGATACTTCCTATATACAGCGTACGAAATTAATAAAACTATCATCCTTGACCTCGAAGCTTTGCATTGACAACTAAACAGCTTCATCAACTTTGAGAGATCGTAAACCTCAATGTTTCGTCTTGTATCGATCACGGCGACCTCTATCGCCTTTGCTTCGGCCGCGACTTTATTACTAAAATGTGATTAATTTTATATTTATCAGACATCTATGTATCTACAATATTATTTTTATTTGACCCTTAAACTTCAAAACATCGTAAAAAATGCGTTGATATTAATATACTTGCATCAATCCTAAATTAAAATTACCGTAATTTCAGTTTGACTTTTATTAGAAGGCAAAGAACCTTGGTAGATCAGAATAGTCTACTGAATACTGCACATAGTTCATCTCAAAAGTATACTATTCACAAGCAGCAATATAATTGTTTTAAATTTCCTTGCCAATATGTATTATCTGTTACCGCTTTTGTAAGGTAACTATACTGGAGAGGGGCGGAATGATAATTCCGTCGGCGACGGCCGTTATCGTTGAACTTGAAATAAACTCGCTGATTGTGCTAATATGAAAATCAACGAGGAAGTAGTTGACGTACGTAATACGTGTGTGATGTTCGAACGCTAGAAGGTGAGTCTCGCTGGCGCAGTGTTTGCGGTGGGCAACAGTGACGCGACGTGACCGACGGCGTTGCGAGGCGACATTGCTAGCCGTTTTATGTATTATGACACTGCCAACTGCCGATATGAGAGTATTGATCGTGCACACACAATGGCAAATAAGCACGTTTGTTAATGCTATTTAAATGTTTAATTATTAAAATGTCTAGAATCAGCAATAATAATAATTTTAATGTTGCTTCATTGGTTTACTGCATTTTATATAAACTTTGTGTTAAGTTTTTCGGATTAATTAAATATACAGGTTTTTAAATATGCATCAAGAATGCAACAATTTTTGAAGACAGGCGTTACATCGAACTGTTTGTAATCAATAGTAGGCATGTATATTCTTTCGTTATTTTTTGAAAGTGTAATTGGTAGAGGTGAAGTGATACGCGTACTTTTGCAATCACTACGGTGAAATTCACGTACAGTGCGACCGGTTGTTTCGTCGAGGCCGAATTGTATTATTGCGTTCAACCGTTCAACATTTGTTTCCTGATGTACGCTCGAAAAATCAGAACGACCGTTGAACGACTTAGCCGTCGACCCGGTATTACCATTTTTGTGTACTTTTTGCCCAAAAAAATCTATTTAGTTCACTAAAATTAACGGTAAAGTTTGAGTTGGAGGCGTCGACACGGCCGTGCTGGTTATTGAGGCCTCGGTTCCTCGGCTCAGGTTTCCGATTTTAACGTGTCGCTGTCAATTCTAAAGAAGTGAATGTTACTTTCTTACAATTATTCACCAGTATATAGATGCCACCTTTATGTCAAAGAGAGCGATTCTTTACCTATAAGTAGACATGTAAAACCGACAACTTTTGCTTAATGGGTGTAAGTGATATGAGCCACGTACCGCGTTTGTTTCATAAAGAATGATTGCGCTAATGGTGTTCTTTATTTAGGAAATAAAGTTTACTTTAAAACAGCGATGAAACATCCGGATCAATGAGGAACTTCACTTCTATTATCCATTAGAAATTAACTTGTGTAAGTGATTGCGCAATGTTCTACTAACAATTCCTTGTAAGTCTCTTGTGATGGAATGTGGTCATTACACGTGATCCTAGAGCTTGCTACTCCACGTGTCTTTGTTGTGGATACAATGCACGTTGTACTGTTTTGCGTCAATATCAGATTTCTTGCTGACGCCAGTTGCACGCTCGTTAACATTCATCGATATTCCTTTATCGTTAATACAGCCAGCGTCTGTACAATACTATGCAGCAAATGTACATATACTCCTGTCGCTAATATGACGTGAGTTAAATTTGATAAGTCAAAGAGACCAGTTTAGTTGTTTTGCAATATATTTCAAGTTTTCTATAAAATTGGAATAAATATTAAGGCGGGTTTTAGTGAAAAATTCCCTTATCCCTTTCACGAAACTTGAATCGTGCGCATAAAAATCCACAAGTTTTAATATGATGAGTAGAATTGTAAGTAGTAAAAAAAATATATGTGTTTGCACAAACATTAACCTTGACTGAGAATCAAACAAAGATCACTCAATACCCAGACACAGACAAACGATCGTTAAATTGTGACAATTTCAGTAGTGAGTCTCAATTGTCGCTCACTGCGTACGGAGTGGCTTAAATATTTGAAAGGAAATATTAGTCACACATCTAGTTGGAACGAAGGTTTGGAATTCGCGAGCGTTATCTGTAAGGTGCGTCCATAAACGTGCGGGGATGATGCGGTCGGCCTTGCGGCGGGTCGGTGACCGGGCGAAGACCCCAGCAGCACCGCAAGCCCGCAGCCCGCAAGCCAAGCAACGGTCGGGGGCAACGACCAGCGGACGCTACCACTATTCCTCATGACCCCTACGGCCCAAGCGCCCAGCTACCTACGATGCGACCGCCACATTTTATACCTTGTTGTGTGCAAGTTCCACACACCACTTAATTCTGACGAAATATGTATGTACGCACAACTTGTGCATGTTACTGATTTAGTAAGGAACTTTACGGGCATATATAATGTACTTTACTTTAAAGACACTTGATTGAAATTCTATTTGTAGCTGCAACGCAATACAAGACAGATAAGTTAACAAATTGATAACTAAATCTACAAGGGCGATATTTGCATAAGATTTATACATTCGCTATTACGCGGTCGATAAACATAAATCTGTACAATACAGCTGGCCTTGGATCATGGAATGATTAAAAAATTTATTAGTCATAAATTTTGTGTTAACGCATGCTTAGCGTCTCTTCCGTGGTAGTCTTTAAATAATTTGCTAGAAGGCGTATGTTGCTATAAAGTTTTTATTTAGTGTATTAGATGAAACAAGTTTTAAAATCGGAAGATATTTCGCTAAGCTTTTGTTTTGCGAAATAAGCTTATACCTTCCAGCATTATTTATGCGCTTCCTGCGTCCGGCCGCTTCGAGGCTAACCTTAATTTTCATTCTGTACTTTTACTTATGATTGCCAACCTTGCTGGGAACACAGATTGTAAATAATCAGTTACGTTTTAATTAGTTTTAACGAAAGTTTTAATGAAATAATGTTTGGATTTAGACATTACCAATACTTAGAAACTACTTAAAAATATCTTGTTATAAAAAGTGGGAGACTACAACGTTCTGTGAGAGGTTTTTAACATAATAATTACAAATAAATTAACAATACTATTATTGCTTCTTTTAAAATAGTTGTCTTGCATACTTTTATATGTATTTAAATATGTTCATCTCTTTGTTTCAGGTGAAAGTGGTGAAGTTTAGTTATATGTGGACAATAAACAATTTTAGTTTTTGTAGAGAAGAGATGGGTGAAGTGTTAAAATCATCGACTTTCTCGGCCGGTGCTAGTGACAAATTAAAATGGTGTCTTCGTGTAAATCCAAAAGGACTCGACGAAGAGAGCAAAGACTACTTATCATTATATTTATTATTAGTGTCGTGTAACAAATCTGAAGTGCGGGCAAAGTTCAAGTTCTCGATTCTAAACGCGAAGCGAGAGGAGACCAAGGCGATGGAGTCGCAACGCGCATACAGATTCGTCCAAGGCAAAGATTGGGGCTTCAAAAAGTTTATTAGAAGGTGAGCTTTGATTATTTTTATACACATTATTGATTTCAATATCAGATTTTAGAAAATATAGTAAATAGAATTGCATGATAGATGATAAAAATGTATGTGCATTCCAATACTTGTCCATTTAGTACGTTTTTTATACTGATTTACTCATATTTACACTTCACTTCTTCACGTCAATAATTCAATATGGTCAAACAATACCTACGATTGCGTCCACAGTTGGATGAAGCCGGAAATATGTGCGTTCCTTCTATGGTACTATGAACGGCACTCCTCATATGCCACAATAACATTATGTCATCGACATTTATCCTTATGCGATGGACCGCACTGTGTAATTACTCTACAAATACCATATGTTATGGATATCTTTTGAATGGTCACAAGCAACAAATCGTAATTGATAAGTTTCAGTACATCTAGCATCTAAAGTGTCGGTAAGTCTGTCATCGTCTAAGTGGTTGTAAGAGTACTTCATTATCGAAAGTCATGTCGCATAATTAGCTGCTGTCATTGATATCACATGAATTGGACTAAGTTTATTTCAAACTGGCTGTTGCTCGCGACTTCGTCCGCGTGAAATTAAAAAAGTATTTTATATTATATTATGCACTGATAACGTAGCTTTTTAATGGTAAAAGAATTGTTGAAATCGGCCCAGTAGTTTTTGAGTTAGTTTAGTATATACAAAATACGAATTTATCGACTCCGTCCACCTGGAAATCTATATCCTCTACATCCATGCCATATTTCATCGAGATCCGTTCAGCAGTTTAGGTTACAAACAATAACAAACATCCATCCATTTAAACTTTGGCATTTATAATATTAGTAAGAGATAGAGGTATGTTTATAATAGAAGCAAGATATATGTCCAAGAGCTGTTCCAAATTGTGTCTCTGTAACCATTGTACCATGTTAATAAGGAAATAATGGGTATTTATTTATCTTAATTGTGTATGCTTTACAGAGATTTCCTACTGGATGAAGCAAACGGCCTGCTGCCGGAGGATAAGCTGACGATATTCTGCGAGGTGTCGGTGGTGGCCGATAGCATCAACATCAGCGGGCAGAGCAACGTGGTTCAGTTCAAGGTTCCCGAGTGCCGGCTCTCTGACGACCTCGGCGCGCTCTTTGACAACGAGCGATTCTCTGACGTCACGTTAGCCGTCGGTGGCAGGGAGTTCCAAGCGCACAAAGCCATATTAGCAGGTCAGTTAACTATCAATAATCACAGTAATCGTTTCGATTCTAGATTTTAACTGTATGCACAACGACGTTAAGAATAGTAGATATCCTACAAAATACACTGACGATCTTGTCAACCTTTAGAGAATCAACGTTAGAAATGGTAGAAACTCAATAATTTCTTTGTTCTCTGTTAACGCTATCAAGTAGACAATGAATTCTGGCATATCCTAAATAATATTTAAAGATAACAGACATAGGTCTAATCACTTAGATTTATTTTTGTGTTATACTTTTCTATATCGTGACGCATGACCTCCTTCATTTGATTTGGCTTTCTCCTCGTCATCGGGGACGTATTTTTCTAAATATATTGCCCTTGTTACGTATAAATAACTATGTTACATTAAGGCCTATATAACCTAACCTTAATCTAGATCCATATAAAAATCTAGTCTAAATGTTAAGTCGTTTGGTTTATTGGATAAAACGGGACATTGTTTGTAGACTAGGGTAATTTATGTCGAGTTTTAATTTATTACATTTAGTTATCGTTTAATTTAATAGCACTATATTTACTATTGTCATAAGAATTTTAAAAAGCCAGTAAAAATCTTACTTTTTACTTATGTTATAAATGCGAAAATTTAAATGGATGGATGTTTGTTAGAGTTTGTAGTCTAAACGGCTGAACCGATTTCGATGAAATTTGGCATAGATGTAAAAGAAAGTCTTCAAGAACACAAGGGGTTCTCACTTTTTCTTTTAATTCCTCGCGGAAGGAGTCGCCGGCGAAAGCTAGTAGTATATATTTCTTACTACAAAAGTATTTGTGTTGTGAAATGAATACAGAAGTTATGTGAGCATTTGATGCGCATTCAAAGATACTAACGGTTACAATGTTAAATGGTTGTTTGTTGTAACTGTACAATAAATACTGCGGAAAATGAAGTGCGCAGTAACGATTATTAATACGCTGACACATTGTTAATTTTAGATACCTACGCAGTACGTGCTAGATAACACTGAATCCATAAACGGGTTAACGCGTACGTGGAAATAACGCTTAACGCTCTTAATTTAACACGATTAAACAAACACTATAAAACGTTCCACTTCTCCATATTTGTTAATACTGATTAGTATTAAAGTTTACTGATATACTTATAGCAATATAAAATAACTGTTACTCGATACTTCGTCAGCGTAAAATTAAAAAAAAAACAATAGCTTATTATTACTCAACTTTACTTATTACTTATTACTCAATGATATGTAGCTTTTTAATAGTGAAAGAATTTTTGAAATCCTCCCAGTTGTTTTTGAAATATTTCAATACAAACAAAAATACATATTCCTCTTTATGATATTATATTATAGAATAGAGTATAAATAATGACGATAAAACACGAAAATTCATATATGTACTTATTACTATTTAAATAATAATAACTATCTAGTGTTTGTAATGGTTTCCATAAAACAATAGTGCCCTTTAACCTTGTTAATGTACTTCCTTATCAGTGTGCTTAGTTATTTCATGTAATGTTAATATGGGAAAGGAATTTGTTTATTGAGTCAATCTAGTCATAAATAAATCTACAATATGTTCGTATATTGATGTGAAATTTGGTACAAATTATTAGCTCTGAGCTACAATTTAATGCACGAGATATTGTATATCCAAGATGCCGCTACAAAATGTCGAATTTTTAATTTTTATACCAATTAATTTATGTTTTTATTTATTAAAATTAACTGGTCAATGTAATATTTCAGCCCGAAGTCCTGTGTTCGCGGCGATGTTTGAACACGAGATGGAAGAGAGAAAAAGAAATAGAGTGGACATCACGGACGTGGACCACGAAGTGCTGCGCGAGATGCTGCGCTTTATATACACAGATCGAGCGCCCAATTTAGACAAAATGGCCGATGATCTATTAGCCGCAGCCGACAAAGTACGTATACAAAAGTATTTATTCGTATTTATTCAATTTTTGACAAATTTTACCACCACATAAGGTTTTTTTTATTAAAAACTTTTATTGAATAAAAAAAAATGAAAGTTTATTGGGGCTCCGTCTGCTGAACTAATTATAACAACTGTGTTTTTTAGCACGACATTCTCTTATCTATTATCATATTTAATTAAAAGTAAGTTAAATTTAAATTGTTATTAATATTGTTTTCAGTACGCGCTGGACAGATTAAAAGTGATGTGCGAAGAGGCGCTGTGCCTCAGCCTGTCGGTGGAGACGGCGGCCGACACGCTCATCCTGGCAGACCTGCACTCCGCGGACCAGCTCAAAGCGCAAACCATCGACTTCATTAACACGTCAGTCCTTTTGCTCTATGTTATGTCTATGGTTTATCATATCTATATTTCTATACTAATATTGTAAAGCGAAAAGATTTGTATTTTTGTATGTATTGCAATGATTCAAAAAGTACTGGGACGATTTTAAAAATTCGACATTAAAAAGTTTTCACTGAGTAACATCGGCTATATTCCTTGTGGACGTAGTCGCAAGCAAAAGCTAGTAGTGAATATGTTTACTGGTCCATTGACATAACTGTTCACTTATGTATGTGTCTCTTGATGTCGAACTCTAGTCTAGTTCACCAATGAGCAAAGTATTTATTTATGCAGATGATATGCTTTGCATTTCATATGTATATGTTCAGCTGTTTTAACATTTTTTTAATGAAATTAGAAATTAAACTGGTATTCAACCAACATACGTTCTTTAAAATCATGTAAAATATTAATCTTTAAAGATTTTTTTTTTATTTGCAAATCGATAACTGTATTAGGTAACTGGTTTGGGTAATAAATCTTACTAATATATAAATGCGAAAGTTTAGATGAATGAATATATGGATGTTTATTAGAGTTTGTAGTCTAAAATACTAAACAGATCTCGATAAAATGGCATAGATGTAGAGGATGGTCTGGAAGAACACAAAGGTTACGTGTTTTTTTTTTAAATCTACGGACGACGTCCCGGGCGACAGTTAATAAACGTGTATTTTAGTATTTATGTATATTCCAGGAGTCACGCGACGGACGTGATGGACACTGCGGGATGGAAGAACATGATATCGTCTCACCCGCACCTGATAGCGGAGGCGTTCCGCGCGCTCGCCACGCAGCAGCAGCAGATCCCGCCCATCGGCCCGCCGCGCAAGCGCGTCAAGCAGGCGTAGGCGCTGCGCGTAGCACCAACATGCTAGCGCTACACGTAGCCGCATCAACATGCTAGCGCGCTACACGTAGGCGCAACAACATGATAGCGCGTTTCCTTCGGGCGTAGGCGTGTTACACGTAGGCGCTCTAATGTGTTAGCGCGCTTCCTTCAGGCGTAGAGCGCTACACGTAGGCGCGCGAACAACATGCTAGCGCGCTACACGTAGGCGCACGGAGATATGCTAGCGCAATTCTCGTGACCGTGTAACATACAAGCGCGCACCCTGCCGACGTAGGCGCACGAACATGCCAGCGCGCTCCCTTCAGGCGTAGGCGCACGCGCAATACCAAAGACAACCGTCGAATGCGGATTGAAGGTACGATCAGAAGTGCGAGTGAATTGATCGCTGCAGACTGCTCACAGACGAAATTGATCCTTGTCAAACCAATATATCCTAATGTAGAAAGAATTTATTTGTCATTGATGCAATAATTAGATAATTTTTAATCATTGACAGTATGATTAAGTCGCTATTAATATGATGGAATTTATTACACCGCAATGTATCTGTTGGGAATGTCATAGCACAGTGTATATTGATTTGACATTGATTTGTGTTTTAGCTTGTTTTGTCAGTTGTACAATGTAAAGTCGCACTACAAGCACGAGCAGTGTGTCCGTGTGTCAGAGTGTCCGTGTGTCAGTGCAGGAGGGACTCGTCCCTTTCATTTACTATGATTGATCTCAAGGCGATATTCGATCCTAATATTTTTTGTCGTTTAATGGTACCGCTTTTAAATATTGTGTTATGAAGCTGAACGCTTTTTGTGCGTTGTAGTTTTAGGCTCGGTTTATAATTAATTATAATTTACGTATGTCGTTTCTGTGAATGTTCTCTTACGGTTATTTTAAATGTAAATTATTGATATCTATAATAGAATGGAATCCTCGTTAATAATTTCAGAATGAAATAAAAATATCATCAATTATTGGCAAATTTTTATAAAAAAAAAAACTAGTTTCATGTAAAATATAATTCTTATCGTGAGGACAGTTGATATTTATCGGTCCTGTATGTGTAATGTTGAGAGGTAGGACCTTTTTAAGTAGCACATTTGGTCGTATGTGAAAGTAGCACGGTTATTGAATGCAATAAATCTATGTAAAGTTGTGTCACACGGCTTAGTTTGGAAGTGTCCGACAAGGATTAAGTGTTGGACCAAAAACTATCCCGACATGGGCCTTAAATCACTACAAACGCTCAATTCTGACGTTTTAACTGAATAGTTAAACTATCCAGTTAAAATATTGCCTACATAACCAATTGAAACTAAATTGAACAGTTCAACTCTTCAGTTAAATATCAGTTAGAATTGAACATCTGTAGCAGGTTTTACAATAACATCAAATGTCATGTCCAAAGTACATACACAGCAATAATAAATGAAATATAAATTATTTTATTAGTCACTGTTTTTCAGACTGTTATAGTCTGCTTAGGTATAGTACTATGTAATTAATTTTCTCGACAAAATGTTGCCATGCCTAATGGTTTCTTGTCTTTGGACGTGTATTTGTTGGAGCGGCGCGCCGTGTGACGTGTAGAAGTTGTAGGCGACTCGAGTGTTATAAGTATAATGAAATTGTTGGTGTTGTATATAGAGGAGCTACGATCCCACCATTATAATATTTCTAAGTACTAAATTGTAAGTGGTATCACAGGTGACACCATTCTAATAATATTGTATCTATAGGTGTTATTCCAATGAATTATTGTGATTTTTCTTACAAATTCCCATAGGTTTTAACACACGATGCTTTCAGTTTTCAATGAATTGTAAATTGCCTTAATTTAAAAATGTTTATAGATACTTTTAAAAAAAATTCTTCATTGGTTTTTGCTTACTTTCTTTCTTTACGACATGCGCTAGTCGAATTGATCAGTTAACGTAACATTGCTCAGTGTTTCATTTTGATATCTCATTCTAAATACGTGTCGACTAAATAACTATCTATTCCTATTAAAACGTCTCACTTCCCTCATATTCTAAAATAAAATATTAGATATAATAATACCCAACATTAGTAATAATATACGGTGGCCAATAAAAGTAATAATATTTATAAAATACCATTTTATACCCACTTCCCGTTTACATAGCTGGCAAATGTTGTCGTGTAATATGATAGTTACAAAAACAATTGTCAGAAATATTAACTGTGATTTTCGAAATTGTCAATAAGTTGAGCAAATAAACGAAAAGATATAAAGTTGTATATTTTATTTTTATATAATACTTTCCCAAGGCCTCTAACCTGTAAGTATTCCATAGAAGCATGTTGGAGAAGAAAATAAGTCTGTTGATAACCATATTTTCTCTTTAACACTTTTTGGCCACGATCCTAAGCCGATGCCTGTCCCAAACCCAAGCTGTAACACCCTTTGGGCTATATCATGCTAACGAAACAACAAGCATTTTGTGGGAATTCGCTTGGGTATAATGCGCGGTAAGGAAATGTAAGGACTGTCGCCCAACTGCAGAGTAAATGTGTTCAACTCGAACTTATAAGTAGAGCTGTACAACAATCTAGCTACCGAATATTAAAACTGCACCTTTATGGGGATAATATTGAAACGGCGACATGCATTAGCGACTTAGATCATTTCTTTAATTTTAGAAAAAGCGAAAAAATTTATGAATTTAACTATCCTAAAAAGAAATCTAAAAAATTACTTATGTTTTCAAATTAAGTAGTTCATCTTTTATAAGTTTTATTTTTATTTGTATTTTAAAAAGGTTAATTTATAAATTAAGCTTGTGTAATCTTTCTTTTGCTCTATTTCTCTCTGCCAATTCCTTTATACTCTACATTTCTAATGGCAACATACAGTAATGTCAATGTCACTGTCATAAAAGTGTTTTTAAATTACCGCTTTAGCGGCTACGAAATGAGATATTTTATATATTAATAAACATATTAAACAAGTGAAGCTACTCAAAGGAGAAACACATATTTAAATTATAATACAGAGATGCAGAGTAGAAATCACCTTAGGTTTTCTTCAGGAACTGAGGATAGTTTAGTCGAAGGTATACATTTGGTATCTTGGTACTATTTGGTATCTTAATTTAAAAAAATAAAGTATTAATTTATTAATTATATGCAAACTTTATAGATAAAGTTCGACAAAATGCAGCCGGAACACCCAAACGAAGTACAAGAATAAGGAACAAGCCAAAAAAATATGGCGATATGGAGTTAACACCGACCAAAAGAAGAAGCCTTATAGAGTGCGAAAGTTCTGAAGAGGATGATGTTAAAAGATCATGTATAGAAAAACCAACAGGTAAATATTAACAGTTAATAAGAATTGTTCTCCTATTAAAGGCATTTATTTTTTAAAGTCACAAATTATTATTTTACATTTTGATGTTAAAATTTATTTTATAGCTTTATTCTGCAGTGACGACGTTGATGGGCAAGATATATTTAAGTTTAAATCACGACACACCAAGAATGATCTACAGAACATAGTAAAGTCAGCTGTAAACTCCCCAATGATGACTCCTAGCAAGTCTAGAACTGCACTACTTAGTGGTGCTGAAGCTACACCAAGACATGTCACAGATATTATGAAAAAGAGTAAGTTTACATTAATCTTCTAAGTTACTATTTTGTATCACAGGTTAACTATTATTTTGGCTATTCATTATTTTGATATTAATGCCAGTAATGGTAATGTTTGCAACTTTCTAACCTGATTTATTTTCAATCTAAAACAGTCACTATCTACCAATACATTTGTAATGAAAATATGTACATAAATGGCTTGTAGAAAGTTAAAACTGTTGATCAATTGCTAATTGCAATAATTTAATACTAGCTTATGCAGGTAACTTCATCTGCACAGTCAAAAAACAAAATTAAGTAGCCTAGGTCTAGTCTAGTCTAGTGTAGTCTAGGCGTTTAAGCCGATTCAGATTTAATTTCTAACAAACATCTATCCATCACATTTTTTTTTATAACATAAGCAAGCAAATGAGCAAGCGGCCACCTGAATCCACAGAAGTAGAATGTAACTGCTGTCCATAAACATCTGCAATTGCAGATGCATTGCCTACACTTCATCGACGGTAGAGGAGACACACATAAAGAGAATTTTTCCTCTTCCTATGCGCCTCAAATCAAATCCACTTCCCCTTCCCATCTTGTCCTTATAAGAAAAGGGTGGTAAAGAGAAAGGGACTTAATTAGGCCGCCGGCACCACACTCATCAGATGAAACACGGAATTGCTTCCATTTCACGCCGGTCTTATGTGTGGTCATGGTATTACACCGGGCATGCCGGCCCCGCAGTGATAAGATGTTAAAGCGGGCATTACCACATTTATAATACTAGTGAGAATCATGTTCAAAACACATGTTTTAATTATAAATATTTCTGTTCCAGGAATAAAGAGAGAAGTAGAAAGTGAGAGTTCAGAGAGTGACTTCTCAGATGGGAGCAGCAGTGATTTTGTACCTGACAAGAGTTACGAAGAGGTATAACCAATCATATTATAAATTTAATTATGTATACTCTTAATTTGTCTTTAGTAAATTATAATTATTGTTTTGTCCATTTACAAATATTTTTTACAACAACTATAACAATGATCTAGGCTTCTGCATGGTTCACAATATGGCAGGATTTGAACTCTGAGCATGTGATGAAATGTCCATACCCTTAACCATTCCACACCATCTGTGTTTAAATAAATGATAATTTGCACATAAATATTATTGAAGAAACTATTTGTTTAAGTAAAATAGTTTGTATATTCCCCAAGACTTGTAAGAAATTTTGAATAACAATTTTATTTTCTTTAACTGTTTAATGTTTAACTTTTGCCCACGACTTTGTCTACATTGAATTTAAAATAATTTAGTAAGTAGTGTATATGTTCTTCCAGACTAAGTTCTACATCTGTGACAAATTTAAGATTCTTTGAACAATTCTGGAGATACCTACTAACATCCATCTATCAATCTGTACTTTCACATTTATAATATTAGTAAGATACAATTTTTAACTTTTTCAGTCTGATTCATCTGCGTCAGAGTCTGCTGGAGAGGAAAGTGATGAAGAAAATGTTAAGAGTCCTTTACATTCACCACAAAAAGTGCAAATTGCAAAGAAGGATAATAGGACAAGACCAAAAGATTCTGAATATGTTGTTACTCCTGATAATTACTTCTTGATGCATTCCAGTAAAAAGGTATGTGAAAAATTCCTCTTAATTTTTATCTAAAGAAATTTAAATTAAACACCTTGCTCCTAATTCACTTATTTCTTAATAAAGCTAGGTTGAGAGAGAAAGTAAGAATATAAGCATGCAGTTCCCATGCAGTGTCAGATATTATAAAAAAAAATATTCATTATTTTTCATAAATCTTAAAATTTAAATGACAATAAATGCCTTTGCCATTAGCTAACAATCATTGTTTCCATAGCTATCTTGCTTCTTTGTTGCTATTTGCTTGTCCTTTTTGTCCCTTTCTTGCAAGTTGATATTTTTCAATTTACTCATTCCCTGAATTAAATAGCTTGGAAACATTTAGCCCATAGTGTGATAAGTGTAAGGCTTTTAATAAATGAAAGGATTATTCAAAAATATGTTGTGATTGGTGACATTTGTATGTGGATATGCATTTAGATAGACCAAAAATATTAAGATTATTTCATGTTTTCTAATTATATTTTCAGATAACAACATCAGATCACACACTCGCTAGACTTAAAAATATGAACTTAAATGATGAAAATGAATCAATTTATATATCAAAAGAGCATGAGGAAAGAATAGCTGATTTAGTACAATCATATGAGCATCTATTTGACAGATGGTTATATGTTTTGAGTGAGGATTTTAATGTTATTTTGTATGGAGTGGGCTCCAAGCGATGTGTCTTACAACAGTTTCAATCCCAGAAGCTCAACGACCAACCTTGTATTGTTGTAAATGGATTCTTCCCGAGTTTAACAATCAGAAGTATACTGGAAACGATAGTTATAGATTTGCTAGAAAATTCCAGAGTACCTTCAAATATTGGTGATACAATTGATTTAATCGATTGCCAGCTATCGGAGAATAATGTGGATTTGTTCCTGATTGTACATAATATAGACGGAGATATGCTACGTAACTCGAAGTCGCAAGCGGTGTTGGCGAGTTTGGCGCAGTTAAAGAATGTTCACATGATTGCAACTATTGATCATATTAATGCACCACTCTGTAAGTATTATTTTTTTTGTAATGAAAAAAATTACAAATAATTTTAAATTGCACCTGGTATCAAAAATAAAATGTGCAGAATAGTGGTA